ATATTTATATTTATTTATTTTTCTTTAATAGATCTCTGTTTTTCGGACGAGATATCAGGATACTTGATCATATGTTATGTATATTAGAGTCCTATAATCAGAGAGGCGACATCGTTACCCCCTCCATGCTTCCCATGATCGCCATGTTGGGCCCGCAGCTGTCCATTTGTAATCTAAAATGTCTTAAAAATGTCTCAGAGATATATAAAATGTTTTTTTTAGAGAATAACGTTACAAATATATATTTTTCTCACTTACAGTACGCCAGTTGCGATTAGTTTGCACGTAGGATTCACTACGGAACCAACATAGGGCGCGTTCTACTTAACGACCGCAACGCTCGCGAGCATTATCTGTCTTTGTTTAACTTTCGGTGAACAACAATGATGAAATGATACCGTGAGCGTTGCGGTTGTTAAGTGGAACTATAAAATAAACTCTTTTAGTCCCAAAATCAGATATCAGTTTCACTAAAAAAATATTTAAAAATGTTTATTTTCTTTCAAAAACGTTTTCTCTTTTTGCTATAAATCATGTTTACAAAAAATTTTATTTAAGAACTTTTTTATTTAACTTATACTTTATTGATATTCAGATTCATTTTAGATTAAACTGTTAAATACATATGTTATCCTTCAATAAATAGAGAAATAATGACTGAGTATCGTTTGAACATGTCTCGATTGGACACAATTGAATACGATTTATATGTGAAAAATCCTAAATACCGGTCACTATCTGCCAATCGTGCACCTCCAGAAAAAAAAATTTTAAAGTAAAAAATTAATGCATATACAGGGTGAGGCATCTAAGACAGGCCACCCGAATAACTCCCACAATTTTGGAGATAGGAGAAAATGTTTGAAATAAAAGTTGTATGGTATCGAGGGGGAATCTTGTGGAACTGAACATTTTTTTTTTAGGTGGAGGCGCTTAGGAGATTTGAAGGTCATCCCCATTTTTTTAAATGGAACCCCCTATTCCCAGACAGCACAGAATGTCCAATGGATGTCCAATTTTAGTTTTTATTTAGTCCAAAGGTCCATGGATATAATATAAACATTTTAAGAATATCCATTAGTGGATGTTCAAAGTATATTTATATTTGGACGCAGTAGAATTTAACCGTAAACACCGATCATTACTTGAAGCAAAAAGATGGAAAGTTACTGAGTTCAGACAATTTTTGTTTTACACTGGTCCTGTTGTACTTCGAAAAATATTAAATAATGATAGATATATAAATTTTCTTAGTTTACATGTTGCAATAATTATATTAACGTCTTCAAAATATTTACACTTTATTGATTATGCTTCTAATCTTCTTTCATATTTTGTGAACACATTTAAAATTTTATATGGCGCACAAAATATATCTCATAATGTTCATAATTTATTGCATCTTTCTAAAGATGTAAAAATTTATGGCCCATTAGACAATTTTAGCGCTTTTCCATTTGAAAACTATTTACAAAGTATTTTAAAATCTATTCGTAAAGGTGAAAAACCGTTAGCTCAAATAATTAAAAAGAAAAGCGAACAAAATTTTCATCCAGGTCGAATAGTAGAAAGGACAAATAAAAAATATCTTATTTATGAAAAAGAACATTCTGATGGTCCGACTCTTAATCTGAACATTTGTAAACAATTTAAAAAAATTATTTTACAAGACTTTGTGTTGCGTATAGATCATCCTAATAATTGTTGTACTCTTATCAATGGAAACATAATTTTAATTGAAAATATTGTCCATTGGAATAATGAGTTTAAGATAATAGGCAGAAAGTTTATGATCGTAGAAAATTTCTGTACGCGTCCCTGCAAATCAAAAGAGATTGGAATCTTTTCTGTTGACAATGTTGGTCCTCTTGAAATATTTAATGTAGCAGATATCTTATTTAAATGTGTGGTATTAAATTGGGAGGAAAAACATGTAATATTTCCATTAATACATGCAAACGTTAATTGTTAACGTTATCATATCAACGATTACTATCATCTTTTTTATTACAGGAAATTTCTAAAATTTGTAGAAAATAGTTTCGTTTTAATGAATTTTTGTTCATTTTCCCCATGAACCGATTTTAAAATTTAATTAATTTTAGAGATTCAAGATTTTCCCGATTTTATTTTACAACCTTCTATTAACAAATTATGTTTTATGTTTTTTATAAAATTGAAATAAAAAAAATGTTGCATTGCCTATAGTTGATCAAGAAAAAGAGAGTCAGTGGATGATTATCTTTTACTTTTATTTTTTTCTTTGCCCTTAAAATTATTATTGAAATAGACACACTCTTGATTACGAGTTATTTATGATTTATTTGTTTTATATGTAAGAAAAAGATGTGTGAACAAACGTGGACTATTGTTCAATTCGAAGAAGATTGCTCTGTGGAAGCGGTACCCTCAACATGGATACAAGGGCAATTTTGTCATTGGCCTACATATTCACAAGACAAATTAATGACTGCAATCAGAAAGCATGAATCTTTAAATACATGCTGGCCTAGCTATAAAATTAGAAGCTTCAGAAATTCTACTTTTAGTAAGTTCTTATATTTAAAATAAGTATTTTACTATATGAGTTTTTATATTTAAAGCAAATATATTTACTGGTTTTAATATGATTACATAGAACAAATGTAATAAAATAGAACAAATATATTTTTTTTATTTTTTAAGATGACTATTCCAAAGCACGCTCAAAAGCACGTACCGCTGAATTTACAAGTGATTTAAATTCTGAAATAGAAGATAATGCTAAAAGGAAAAGAATTCAAAAAATTTTATCTTCCTCTTCATCAGAAGATAGCTTGGAAACTTCTTTATTATCACAACCACCAAGATTGAAACAGACAACTAGAATAAAGCAGAAAAATCTTGAAAAAAGTTCTAAATCAGTTTATGATTCCCCAAATCAGTCTACGTATCAGTTATCATATAATACAGAAAATAGTAAGCCTTTATATATTAACTACTTAATCGCATATTTTGATTAATACTGTGCATATTTTAAGTATATATACTATACATTTGTGGTCAATTTGTTCATTATATATAGTATCTAACAATTCAATATTTTATTCAATAAAAACTATACCATAGTTTTCCAAATAGTTCTCCAAAAACTTTGCTAGCTTAAAAAGGTTTTACTAATTAAATATAATTTTAAGACGATATGAAAATATGTAATTAATGCATCGGCGAATAATTTTTTATTTAGAGAATGTCGTAACATACATGTCAAAATAAGACAAATTGAATGTTACACAGAGTTTTCTATGCACTTATTGTATGATGAATTTTCCGTTCAGATATAAAAATTTTGTTTTCTAATTCTATCTATCGTTGAAAACTGCGTGTGTGAAGTTGTTATATAAATCTAGATTTTGATGAACAATTTGCTACTGTACACATTTGCTGTACAATCCACGTGCCACAATATTTAACAAATGATAAATATTTATCACATAATTTCTTGTAGAATTAGATTTATAATAAGCATATATAGAATTTTATAAATTTTTTCTCTTTTGTTTATGTATCTCGACATGGGTGTGGGAGCTTAGGGACGTCATAAGCGTCGAGCCTCGAAAAGCGCGCGGTGGATCGGCCCGCTAGGCCGTTAGTAACGGTATCGTTACAATATACATATCAAATTTTTTGTAGGTTTGCCATGCAATTTAGCTTGCAGTTGCTGTAGTAAGAGAGAGAAACTTGATGGTAATATCATATGTAAAGATTATACACAAATACATACATATATGCATACATACATACATATACATATGGGTGCGTGCGTGCGTGTACGCGCGCGCGTGTGTGTATAATGACTATTAAATTTAAATATAAATTGAAATAATTTTTTTCAGAGAAGACTGTTAAGAATTTAATGGCCCAGTATTATTTGATACGAAGTGTGGTTACTGATATATTATCTGAAGTAAAAGAAATTAAATT